ACTTAGCATAAGTGACTTTTCAAGGCAAGGAACTTGGTTTTTTCACTCACACCATGTCAATAACTCATGAGAGGAGATTTTGCCCCAAATATGAAAGGAAATGCATGAGATATGAGATGATTCAAAGTATCATGGCATGAGAACTTCCATAACTTTCCACCACATTCCATATTCTCCTAGATCAATCTAGAAGCTTCTAGGACTTTCCAATCTCATCTATATATTGATATGAGTAACTCCATGCCATGGTTGGTGCTTCATATTGTTCATAAACACAAGTTTCACACACTTTTTCCAATTTGCAAAATCAACTCAAACTCTCTCAAATTCTCATCAATTCTCACAATTCTTGATCTGATCATCATCACCATCATCCAAGGATCATAATTCACATCAAGATTGGTTAAATTGGAGGAGGATTCGTGTTGTTCAAGTTGATCATCCAAGAAGCAATAATTTTGGAATTGTGAGATTCAAAGCATTGGAGCACGATTTGTTGCATACAGAACTCAAGAGCAAGTTCACTGATCAGTTTTCAATCATTTCAAGCATTGGATCAAGAGGTTTTAGCATTTGTTTTCATCAATTGCACCAGGTATGTTTATCCTTCGAATTGCATGTTTAGGTTAGAATTACTAGGTTTTGTTAGCATAGAAATGGTAAGATAGGTTAGATGACTGATTCCACCAAGTTTGGAGAGCTTTCATGGAGTTTGATCATGGTGTACCAAAACTGTTTGGATGGATAACTCTTGGAATATTGCACAAGAACCTTAGGTTAATAGCTTGTTATGATCAGCATAAGGTATAGACAAGGTTAGGATAGAATTGAGCAAGCTTTGGAGAAGTTGATGACAGGTATTAATGGTGGATTCCAACTGTTACTCCTATCGGGTTGGTTTGTTGAGTGAGTGTTAGGAAGAGTTATGGTCATGGTTGTGTAGAGGGGAAAGAATAGAGCAACTTTGCTCTTTGAATCGAAGGCATCCATGGAGAGATGAGGGAGAACAGAGGAGTGTAAAGTTCATGCATGGCTAGGGTTTTCAGAGGTTAGGGTTAGCTGGAGGTTGAAGATGACTCGTGAGCCACACGATTGCCTTTTGACTATTGACTGGGGATTGAAACCAACGGCCACGATTGAATGGAAAAAACGGGGGGAGATTCAAACAACGAAACGCACCGTTTCACTTTTTGTTTCAGACTGGGCTCAACATGTGCTTGCTATACACACCCCTCCAACCAGGCCCACTTCCAAATGAGTTGAAATAATTGCTACATACACCGATTCTCGTTTTTTCTTTTTTTTTGTGTTTTTTTGTGTGTTGTCTGACCAACTGGGCCCAGACGCGCCCTGCTAGGCACACCCCCCAGTCTGGGCCCGTTCCTTTTTTTAACTGAATTTCCTACTTGCTGCACCCTCCATTCCATTTAATTCAATTTTATTTTCTCTTAAAAACATTAAATCTTTAAAAAATCATAACAAATTGTAAAATGCATATTTTTCATTGGCTGTTTTTGCATTCTTTTCTTAATTTTGTCAAGAAAATTATCATACAAAAAAATTAATAGTTCATTTCATTTTTATATTTTTGGCATATTTTTCTTTTAAATAGGTGTAAATAATATTTTGTTTGGTGCATGATTTTGCTAATTTTAGTTTGAATAGATGCTTTACTATTTTTAATCCATTTTTTTTAGGTTGATTAGTAGATATTGTTAGCTTGTATATACCATTTAGTTCATATTTTTAGGACTTAGTTTTAGGTGATTTGATTAGGTGTGAATAACATGAACAAAATTAGGGTTTAAGTGATGACTTAGGGGAATTGAATCATTTCCCTTAGGATTTAGAGATTGAAAGTTTGGGGTATGGGACTATAGGGATTATGGGTAGTTATTAGATCCCTTAGAAAATATCAGGATTCCCCTACTGCTATTAGTATACTACTGTATTTGCTTGACTGGTGTGGTGTGCCCTCTCTGGGGATTATAATTTGTCTGTGTGGGTATTGGGTTTGTTTGGGATTGGGAGAGCTGAAGACTTTGATGATGAAGCCATTGGAGATCAAGGAATTGAAGACCAACTTCCAGGGTTGATGAGAAGACTTTATCTTGCTGGTAGCTGTTGAAGTCTATAGGATCTAGGAGTTAGGCAGAGCCCTAGAGTAGAAAGCTTGATTCTCAAACATGGAAGGTCTTGACTGCCTCCATTCTTCTCTGTGATGCAGAGTCTCTCTAAGACACTTACCCCCTTCCTTTGGAAGGCTTGGTGATAGTGTCTAAGAGATAGAACTCTTGAGAGAAATATTCTATGTGTTGTCAGCAGTTTGTTTGTCACCCTTGGTAGTCAACTAATTGCTTAACACCCAATTCACTCTTGTGATTGATCCCTCATCCTGGAGGTTTGAGACTTGAAGAAAAGCCATTGTAGACTGAAGATTGATGACAGAGGCCTTGCTTGAAGACTGTAGAGATGGAGACTAAGGCTTGCCAAAAGCTTGTAGCTGATTGGAGATGACTTGAAGACAGATGTTGATGCAGAGCTGCTGTGGCTGTTTATTTTCGCTGTTCATTTCTGATGTATTGATTGGTTTTCTGGACTGTATTGTTTGTTGTTAACCTGTTGGGTTGAAAGTGAATCCTGTTCACTTTTGCCTATTGTTTTCTAGGTTCGAGGTTGAGTGAGACTCCCTTGCCTCGCTTGTATTGTTGCATTCATGCATTTTACTGCTTTACTGTATATATCTGATATTGTTTCTGTTTCCGTCTATTCCCTTAGGATCTCTGTTTCTCTTTGCGCAAGAGAGGAGCATGATAGACACTAGGTCCTAACCCATGCATGATAACACTAGGTTAGTTTGATTCCCTTCGTAACCATAGGTTAGAGTTATGTCTCTTCTTCCTCAAAACAAACAGAAAAACACAATAAATATTCCAAACACAATAAAAGACACTTCTTTCGTAAAAGAATGTGAACTCATCAAAACGTCATTTTTGTCCGCTTGGACTGCTAATCAGAAAAACCTTTTTTCAGAAGGAATAAAAATCAATCAAGGCAGACCTGTGTCGTACGTGGCCCGAACTACGTTTGCTCTGATCTTTCATGCTGTATGAAAGTACGTAGGCATAGGATGCGATATCCTAGCGAGCAACCTTCCCCTCCTTTCCAGTAGGTAGGCGAACTACGTTGACTCTGATTTCTCGTTCCAGACGGGAATACGTAGGCATAAAGTGCGATACTTTGCCGAGTCATTTCATTTTCTTTTTAACCCTTAACCCTTAGTTTAGATATAATAACAATCAATACCCGAAAACAAGCGTGGATCCCGTCGAGTACGACGGACGTGAGGGGTGCTAATACCTTCCCCTTGCGTAACCGACTCCCGAACCCAGGTTTTGGTTGCGATGACCATACCTTTCCCGTCTTTGCGGTAGGTTTACTCTGAGCGTTTCCTTTCCCTCCTGTGGGATAAATAACGCACGGTGGCGACTCTTCTGTTCAGCCGGCGCCGATTTTCGCAGTAGCGACACATGGCGGATTGTACGTTGTTACTGCTACAGTTTTTTGTCATGGTTCTCATTACTATAGATTGCTTCTTGTTAAAATTATGAGTTCTGTTATGGTTTCACTAAATATGATGTCGTAACATTGTTTGGAATTTCAATTTAAGAAGGTGATAATGTTGTAAAGTTGACGCAAAAATGTCTTTAAAAAATTGACTAATCTCAGCTAGTGAATTAAGAACATGCTTGGGAAGTAAATTGAATGCAATTGGAAGCAATCGTTCCATGAAAACATGACAATCATGACTTTTTATTCCATGCAGCTTCTTAGTTTTTGCATCAGCACATCTTGCTAAGTTAGAAGAATAACCATCGGGCATCCCTAACTCATTTAACCACCGAAAGACTGCTTTTGCTTCTCGGGGAGTAAGAGTGTAACAAGCCTTGGGTTTTAATAATTTTCCATTTAGTTGAGGTTTCAACTCCAAGTCTTTTCGATTACACGATTACACAAAAGTTCAAAGTCTTTTCTAGCCTTCTCATTATCTTTTGTCTTGCCTTGGACATCTATCAATGTGCTAAATACATTATTAAAAAAATTCTTCTCAATATGCATAACATCAAGATTATGTCGCAACAAATGGATTCCAATATGGGAGGTCCCAAAAAATAGTTATTTTTGTCCAATTGCGAGTGCCCCCATATCCTTGAATTCTGCATGTTTTACCATTATCTGTGAATTTTGGTAGATCACAAACACTATTCCATACTTCAGTTGATGACATACGAGGGGGAGGAAGATCTGTTACTTTTATTCCTTTTCTAAAAGCATTCTTATTTTTTCTAAAAACATGGTTCATTGGTAAGAATCTATGGTGACAGTCAAACCATGAACTTTTACCACCCATTCGCAAAGTAAACACTTTTGTGTGTCCCATAATGCGAACATCACTTTTGCCATTCGTACCCCAACCAGACAACATGCAATATGCAGGAAAGTCATTAATTGTCCATATCAAAGCAGCTCGCATATTAAAGTTTTGTTTATGAGACACATCATAAGTCCATTCTCCAATCCACAACCTCTTCAAATCATTAATTAAAGGTTGCAAATAAACATCTATTCCCACTTTTGGACTCGACGGTCCTGGAATGAGGCATATCAAAAACATGTAAAGTTTAGTCATGCACATCTCAGGAGGGATATTATACGGGGTAACAATAGCTGGCCAACAAGAATAGGCAATTGCTGATGATTGAATAGAAAGAGTAAAACCATCTGAGCATAATCTGAGCCCGACATTCTAGGTTCTGATGCAAAATCTATATGTACTCTATCTAAGTGTTTCCATGCCTCGCCATCAGATGGATGTCGCATTATGCCTGAACTATTGGAATTTGTATGATGCCATGTCATTTGGCTTGCACTGTGAATTGACGCAAACATTCTTGCAATCTAGGAATTATTGGCAGATAGAACATGGACTTCACTATAACTCATTTTTGCTTTCGATCAATGCCTTTACTGCGAAATAAATCCCTCAGACTCTGAGAAAAATTACATTCCTCAAATCCTCCATTATTTGTATCAAACTCGTTATCATAAAACAACATACAACCTTCAATACAACAATCAATCTTTTTCACTTTTAGTCCCATTCTCTTCACATTATAATAACTTGTAGGCATGTTTTCTTTCACAGGAGTCGCATCCAACATCATTTTTGCAAAGAATTCCAAACACTGATTAGGAACATTCCAATTTGACTTCGTAGCCAAGAGTCTCACACATATGGATAACATGGAGTTAGAAGACCCCTCAAACAGTGGTATATTTATTTCTTTCAATAATTGATAAAAATTTTGCGCTTCCTCGTTTGGGAGCTCATCTGCATCAAAATCTTGAGGTTCATCATAAGTCACATTCACCCCTAATGCATCACCAATCATATCATCAATGAGATTAAATTTTCCCTGGTCTTGCAACTGTGGTTGACTGCTTGATGCCTCTCTACCTATCTCAACTCCAACATGTGTTTGACTGCTTGAAGCCTCTCTATTCATCTCTAATAGTATTTCTCTATTAGAATAACACACCCAATAATTTAGCCTAAAACCATCTTTCTCCAAGTGACGTTTGACTTCATTTGGGTCACTAATTATATTTCTGCAACCACACTTTAAACACAGGCATTTTACCCATCCTTCGCTTCGACAATATTCTTGAGCAAACACATATGTAAAAAACGCAGAAACTCCGTCTTTAATATGTGGTTTAAGTCCACGTAGTCTTGGATATGTTCTATCATACATCCAACTACGATAAAAATGATAATATTCCATATTGCACATGTGTAATTAAGTTCATATTTAAATTTAAATTTAAGAAAAGAGAAATTGATCTATCGACAAATATATGACTATATATATATATATATATATATATATATATATATATATATATATATATATATATATATATATATATATATATATATATATATATATATATATATATATATATATATATATATATATATATATATATATATATATATATATATATATATATATATATATATATATATATATATATATATATATATATATATATATATATATATATATATATATATATATATATATATATATATATATATATATATATATATATATATATATATATATATATATATATATATATATATATATATATATATATATATATATATATATATATATATATATATATATATATATCTAACTAATATATCATATAAATCTAAGATATACTTGTTTTTTTCTTAAAAAATATCTATATTTTTTAATACATATGTTTAATACATTATTAATGTTTTCAAAATAGAATAACTTACAAATTATATACTTTTATGATAAATTTATATTTTCAATAAATATATTACCAAAATATATTTTTTAAACTAATTTTACAAATTTATAGACAATAAAATATACAACAATATTATATATTATGTTTCTACAAATTTACATACTTTATAACATATTTTAACTTACAAATTATATACTTATATGTTTCTACAAATATTATGTAATATGTTTCTACAAATTTACATACTTTAAAATATATAATATGTTTCTACAAATTTACAAATTATAACATATTTCCTATAAATATATTAATAAAATATATTAATATTTTAAAAAACATATACTTTCTAAATAAAAATGTATACTTTCTAAATAAAAAGTGTATATATTACAAATTATATACTTTATATAAAAAGTACATATATTACTTAAATATATTACAAATTATATATTTTTATGATTTAACTAATACTTTTTAAATAAAAGAGCATATTAATATATAATCTAATATTTTACAAAAAAATATATATACTATGATTTCAAAATTAATTTTATAAATATTCTTATATAAAATTATTTATTATATACAATCAGCTTTTTAAAAATTTAATATATATTCTGTTTTTTAAACAATATTTATCATACAATACTATTTTCAATAATATGTTTAATACATAATCTATTTTTTAAACGATATTTATTATACAATACTATTTTCAATAATATGTTTAATATAAGATCTATTTTTTAAACATTATTTAATATATAATCTGATTTTTAAAATCTGTTTTATAAATATTTTAATAAACCTGTTCTATAAATCTGTTTTATAAATATATTTAATATATAATCTATTTTTTTAAAAATATTTTATATATACTATTATTTTCTCAAAAATATTTAATATATAATCTGTTTTTTTAATAATATAAACAACATATACATAAATTTGTATACTAAATAATATAAAAAATATATATCTATATTGTTTTTTACAATTTTTTTCTAACAAATATTTTAAAACTATTATAATATACATCTGAAAAAATATAAGAAATAAAAATAATATTTTCAAAAATATATTACTAAAATTATATACATAAATTTTGAAATAAATAATAATATTTATTTTATTATACCAGCATCACACCAAAATCAACATATATTAATATCAATTACGCCTAAAATTTTGAGAAATAAAATAAATGTGTACCTTTTTATACTCCCTTAAATTTGAAGCTCCTTTTAGATAAAATTTGAGAGCTTTATATGATCAATTGTATACATACAACACAGTAAATAAATAAAAACGTTAATTGATAAATCTAATAAATAAAATTAATTACAAAATACATGTAACAAAGAAATTATAATATAACAAAAATATTTATCTAATATTTGAAAGAAAAAAAAATTAGAGCTTGAACTTGTATGGAATGGAAGAAGAAGGGTGGAACAAGACACAGCAAGAAAGGAAAAATTAGGAGATATCAGTGAGTGGAATATGCATATTTAGGCTTTTAATAGGTGTGATTTGCAAGGGGAACCCCACCCGTGTGCCAACGGTCATATTTAGCGAGTGGTCACTCCTAGTTAAATATTGACGTGTCAAATGAGTAAGTGCATGTGTGGCACGTAGACACAATTGGCGACGGGCTACCCCACACAATGTATGAGGATAACATTTGCGAGGAACTGCCCCTTTGCAAAATGCATATTATAAAGTGGTGAGGGGTTGGCCCCTCGCAAAATGTAACCATTGTCAGCGTATTTTGGCGTTGACCCTTAGCAAAAACAAGTTTCAAAATTCAAAATATTTTCCCTCCTTCTTTACAAGGGGTATCCCCTAAAAATTGTTTTCTATTTTTTTCTTCCTATTTTATGCATTGTAAGGGGTTTAATCCCAAATAACTAAGTTGTTTTAGTGAGGGGTTTTACCCCTAGCCAAAGTCCCTAGATAATATCATCTTTTCTTGTAGTGTATAATCAAGTCTTCATGCGGATTGTCTTATTCTCACCGACTGCAATATATCCAATGATTTCTTTCCTATAGGTCTAAACATTTTTTCCAATGTCAAAGATTTAAACCTATCAGGCAAAAACATCACAAATTTTCATGCATGGATTAAAGAATGTCACTTTACGAGGAACGTTAAGCTGAATAATTGCAGTAATCTACAAGAAATTAGTGGGATTCCAAAGAAATTAGAAACAATTTTTGTGAAAGGATGCACGTCATTAAAATACTTGGACCTCACGGTTCTTCCTGCATGCACTGCAGAATCTTGTTCTTTGAAGGAACTGATTTTGGATGATTGTGTGTATCTTCAAGAAATTACAGGGCTTTCGTAAAACTTGGATGTGCTCTCTGCAAAAAGCTGCACATCATTGACTTCCCAGAGTATAAACATGTTGATGAATCAAGTCCTCTCGTTATCCTATTTAATTCCTATTTATGTCGCAAAATGTTTGGTTAACATATCACAATTTTAAACTTATGACTGACAGAGAGGGGTTCAACATTGTTTAAGTGTAAAAAAGGCTCAACCTCCAGAGTGGTTCATGCATTGTTTAAGTGTGAAAAAGGCTCATGCCTCAAGAGTGGTTAGAAAACAAGAAATAGCAGGGTCATTTTATTTCTGGTTTCGCAACAAATTTCCTACGATTTCTCCATGTCTTGTTATTGGACTGGGGAATGAGCAATTTATCACGCTCAATTTTAGCCCCAGGTATTCATCAATGGCCATAAGCAGTGCATTGGCGGTTAGAAAATTTACAACTTAATCATAGCTACTGATCATGTACTTCTGCTAAACTTTGAAGATAGTGGGGACATAGTGTTCTCAGATGATGAGTGGAATCATGTAGAGGTTTCATATGTTGATCATATTACTAACGATGAGGTACTAATTAGACAGGTTGCTCATATATAGTGGAATACATGTATTTGGACAAACAATTGATACAAACAGTGATTAGTACCTCATCGTTAGTAATATGATCAACATAATTAGTGATACATGCAAATTTGAATCCAAATTCAATAGAGGCGACGCAACAAAGAGTAAAGGTTAAAATTGTTAAATATGTAATGTTTTGTGTTAAACATGTTTGTAAGATATCGAATTTGATAGAGTCAAAGTCGGTGTATTCGATAGAGTAGTAGTCAAATATAGTTTGTAATAGTTGAATCTGCATGTATTCAACATAGAGTTGAATACGGCTTGTCGAAGTCGAAACATAATGCATTTGACATAGTTGAATAATAAATTTTTGTAGTTAGTTAGTTAGTTAAATATTGTGTGATAATTGATAAATATTTATGTTCCATTCAAAAATATGATCCTTAAGCTACCTGATAAATATTGACGATGGAACAGATAAATATTGTAGTTAGTTAAATATTTAGGTTGCTTTTATACTAAATTATATATTTCATCTTTATTTTGCAAAAACCATACAAAAATATGTTAGTAAATTGGTTCCCTATGTGTGATAACTGATCTTGATATTTTTCTAGAAAATTAAGTCTTTCCTAGAATATGGAATGATATCTTTATAGAAGTCTATATATACACAATAAAAAAATTATTTAATTAAATAAGTAATATTATTATTTTGCCATCTCTAAAGGATAATGTCTATGTGTATATTAACTTATATGATATACTGATGTGTTTGAATATATTGAACAAAACTTTATATGAATATTTTAATTCATCTTTGAATTTGTTACAATCAACTTTATTTTTTTGGATAACTTCATTCTTGCTAGCCCTTTGAACATAATAAAGATAGGAGTATAAAAAAAAGTAAGATAGATAATACAAACTAATTTTGATGGTGAGTATAATAGAATATTGATGGTGATACACAACTCCTATTATCGATGGTTGGTAATTGTCATCTAATGGAACATATGTTATCGTGAACTCATTTACACTGCTCAAGAATATATTTTAAACTCCTATATAGATAATATTTTTTTAGAAATATTTAATATAGATGCACTAACATTATGAGTTAACTAAAATACAAAATAATTTGGAGTAACATAGAAATATTACTATGAACCTACAAGGAGCAATTGGAACACAGTGAAATCTATTAAACTCCCTTTACTATAATACTATTTTTTCTTATTATTTTTTAATTAATATATCTTTTATCTATAACTTAAATTAACTCAGTTTTTCATATAATTTTTTTTTTGTAGTAGTTTTTCATATAATTAAGTTACACCAATTTCATTTCTTACCCCATTTTATATTTTAATGTTTAGTTAATATACAATCTTTTCATCTATTTGTCCAACATAATTTATGTTTCTTTTTATTGATTGCCCATTTTTTCTTGGTCTTTTTTATATTTTAGTTTTGATTTATATTTTTAACATATGTTTTACAAATAATATTTTTTGGTGTAAACTTCTTTTTTCCAAAAACAAATATATTTATTTTAAATCCCGTCCATATTTACCAATATTTTTCAAC